CAAAATTTCTCATCACTTTACATTTTCTGTTTATTTGTTTTTTTGGTGTGTTTTTTAAAAATATATGTTATTGATTTTTACAGAGAGGAAGGGAGAGGGATAGTTACAAACATCATGAGAGAGAAACATCCATCAGCTGTCTCCTGTCCCCCTACTGGCGATGTGCCCTAACCAAGGTACATGCCCTTGACCGGAATCAAACCCGGGACCCTTGAGTCCGCAGGCCCACGCTCTATCCACTGAGCCAAAGCTGTCAGGGCTACGTTTTTCTGTTTGTTATTTTGTTCTCCCCTCACACCACCCTCTTCTGGACAGCAGCAAAACTCAATAACCGAAAATGATCTCTGTGCCATTTTTCCGGACATCAGTAAAGGAAAGACAAATGATGCCTATATTCTACTTTGCTGCCAGCCTGGGGAAAGATAACATATCTCATGTACCAACTTACAGTGAGGGTCCCACATATGATTAACCCCCGGAGACTTACCTGGAACCTCCAGAGCCCCCCGATGTCGTCTGTCCTTTCAAAGCAGACGGGCTCCAAGCCTTCGTCTAGGCAGCACTTGATCGACGTGAGCCCGCTCACACCTGCCCCAATCACGGCAATTCTTTTGTGGGTCATGGTCTCGGGAGCACTTCGCAGGGCTGGGTCCCCCCGCCAATCTGTCCTGAAGAATGGATGACAAAAGACAGAAAGCACACGGCAGTTAACACCTTTCAAGAAAAGACCCTGGCCCAAGGCATCCACACAAAACTGGCAGCAACAGGTGTCTCCGGGGGAAGCCAGAGTGTGCGGTCTAGTCGCCTTCGCCGCTGGGAAAGGCGACTCGCGGGGCCCGGGAGCCCCGCGCCTCCAAGCGGAGGCCCGACGCGGAGAGCTCAGCTGTCACACGCGGTCTCACTACCTTTCCTCCTGCACGGGGCAGATGCGTCAGCTGCAATCCGGAGGCTCCACTGCACTTTCCACCGTTTTCACCGAAATATAAAGCAACCAAGTTCAAACAACAGCCAACTGGGAGGGGCTGCGCCGCACCGCCCCTTTCAGCCCGCACCCCGTGCCATCAGCCGCCCCCGCTCCCTCTCTCAGGTGGGGGTGGGGGGAGGGCGTAGTGATGCCGGGAATGAAAGGCGGGCGGAGCCTGCTTGGGGCAGATAAAATAATTAGTCCTGCAACTTCTCGATTTTTCAGTGCAGTTGCCCGCCCTCCAGACCACTCTCTCCGAGAGAGGCCTTCTGTCTCCATCGCTCCCCGCTCCTCCGCACCCGCTGCGAATTTCCTGGTTTACCCCCTAAAGTGACAAACTCTCCTGCTGCAGGGGAACCGTCACCCACCACACAGCAAGTCTTGCTCCAACAGCTTGTAAGTGGAGAACCCCAATCTTTCAGATCTGTTACAAACAGGTCGCGCGCCCTAACCGGTTTGGCTCAGTGGATACAGCGTTGGCCTTCGGACTGAAGGGTCCCGGGTTCAATCTAAAATACCCACGCACCGAGCTGGGTGCTGGCCTAGGGTGCGAGTGGATTACAGTCCCCACTTAGAGGAGCTTGTAGTTTGGTGGAGAAGACCAAAGCACAGGCTGGAAATGTCAATAAAACAGAAATACTTCTAAAAAGTGTTTTATGCCATTGCATGTGGACTTAAAACCACCACATATCTGCTTTTAAAATGTAACTTAAATTTTTCAAATGCCGTTTCACTCGCTGGGTTGCAATCAGGGCCCATCCCAGGAATCTGTTCTGATGGGTTGTTGGGGAGGTAGGCTGTGGCTGATGCAATCCGTCTTTGCTCACCTTCGACTACTCTGAGTCAACTTTGCTCGAGATGGTTGGATGCCAATGACAGCCCTGGGTTTTGGCTTACTGGTCTCACCTCACAGGTATTGTTTATGGAGTTAATGCTTATCTTTTCTCAAGGGCTTACCTGGAATGGCTCAAATGGCTAAATGGGAATGGACACAACCTTCTCAGCAACCCTGTGAGGCAATACTATCATTATCCCCATTTCGCAAGTAAGTGGGAAGGGATGCAAGCCAGGCAGTCTAGCTATAAGCCCGAGCTTTCCATCACTGTGCATACTGTCCCTTTAGGAGGATGAATATATATATACTAGAGGCCTGGTGCACGAAATTCTTGCAGAGTAGGCCTCTCCCCCAGCCCTCACCTCCCCCAGCTGCCAGCACCGACTTCCCTCTGGCACCCAGGACCCGGGCTTCCCTCACAGCCCTGGCTTCTTCCAGAAGGTCATCTGGAAGGACGTCTGGTTTAATTAGCATATTACACTTCTATTATTATAGATATATTTTTAATCCTGATCCAAGGATATTTTCCATTGAACTTTTAGAGAGAGTGGAAGAGAGAGGAAAAGACTGATAGAAATATCGATGTGAGAGAAACACATCGATAGGTTGCCTCCTGCACCAGCCCTGACCAGGGCCCAGGCCAGGATGGAGCCTGCAACAGAGGTACATGCCCTTGACAGGAATCGAACCCGGGACCCTTCGTAAGCAGGCCAATGCTCTATCCACTGAGACAAACAAGCTAGGGCTAGGAGGACATTTTCACTTCTAATTTAGTCACAAGTCCTTCCATTTCTCATCTCCTTTCTTTTTGCATCCTTTTCTTTTTGCCTTACTTCTGCCTTTACAACACTCTAATTGAACTGCATTTATTTATTTATTTATTTATATTGTTGTTGTTGTTTTTAATTTTTTTATTGCTTAAAGAAGGGGTCCTCAAACTTTTTAATGGGGCCAGTTCACTGTCCCTCAGACCGTTGGAGGGCCGGACTCTAGTTTAAAAAAAAACTATGAACAAATTCCTATGCACACTGCACATATCTTATTTTGAAGTAAAAAAACAAAACGGGAACAAATACAATATTTGTATTTGCATGTGGCTCGCGGGCCGTAGTTTGAGGACCCCTGGCTTAAAGTATTATGGTCTCTGTCTTGAACACTCTTCTTCCTGATTATCATTTGGATCTAACTTAAATGTCATTTTCTTCGTGACATGTTTCTCAACTCATCAAGAGCTGCACCCCAGCCCTGTTCTTAAGCTCATCACACTGTTTTATTGTCTTATTAGTACTAATACTAATACGGATAACTTATTTTTAAGCCCCTTCCTTTTTGTCTGTCTCCATCACTAGAATCTAAGCTCCATAAATGCAGGGATCTTATCTGCCTCGTTCACTTCTGTTCGAGACACCGGATATATGGTCAGTGTAATCACTCTCTGCTGTACTCATCTGGCAAAAATCCAACCCTGGTAAGATCCAGTTCTCTAACTGTTCCCCTCCTGCACCTAACACACACCATGCTGACTGGTCTCATGGCCATAAACTTCAAGTGTCCCTTGCTGCTGCTTGGCAATGCTACCTCATTTCTCTAATCATTTCACTCTCCCCCTTCCCCAGACAGCTATTTCACCCCTTTCCCTCCTCAACCCTCCAAAGACTCCTTCTCCTTCCTCAAGCTCATCTGATGACCTTGTTTCTTATTTCACTTAGATAACTAAAACAATCAGAAGAGATCTTCCACCTACTTACACTCACCACAACTCTGTCCTCTACATGTTCCAGTGCATGACTGTCCGTACTCCTACTTGGGCCAACCCCTCCACGTGTGCACTGGTCGCACCTCTGCTCCATCATGGACAACACTCCTGCAGCATCATCAGTTTTTCTCTCTACTGGATTATTGTTCATATGAGCATTCAACATACTCTAATATCAATGATGTGGAAACAAAATAATCCTCCTGTTAGTACATGCAGACCCATTAGAAAATTCCCAAGAATGTAAAAACTACCTCCATAAGCAGAGGGTGTGGAAAAACTGAGGAAAGAGGCTGGTCACTCTAGTTTCATAAATGGTAGAGTTTATTACACGAAACTTACATATGAGGTGTGTCTTGGGTGGCCTACAAGACAAAACAGGTCTCTGTACCATTTGATAGGCCTCAAAGAATTATAGAAGATAAAAGGGGGGATAGTAATGGTACCATATACAGGAAATTACATGCTTGATCTGGTCAGGACAATGACCAGGAACCAGCATATAGAGGGAGGCAAGGGAGGGGCAGAATGAATATCAATTATGATCAGACAGTTTCTAAGGGGTGTGTGTGTGTTAAGCAATCTCTGTTCTGGCCTGGGTCCAGCTCATAGGTCTGGCAGCAGTCACATCTGTCCTCCAGACCTCCCACTAGCTCTAGATCCCCTTTCAGTTACTGCTCCCAGTATTCTGCTCCCTTTTATAGCAAAACTCTCTGAAAGAGTTGTGAGACATTCTGCCTCTACTTACTTTCCTCCTATTCTCTTTTAAAAATCCATTCCAGTCAGGCTTTTTATTCCACAATATACAGAAGTTGTTCTTGTTGAGGTCATGAATGACCACCACATTACCCAATCCAGTGGTTATTTCTCTACCTTATCTTTACATTTGACATAGACAATCCACTCCCTTCTTTTTGTAATTCCTCATCATTTCACTTCAGGGACACCACACTCTTGCCTCTCATATCTACACTAATAAAAGAGAAACATGCAAATTGGTGTCACTCTGCTATGCCCACCAGCCAATCAGGATGAGTATGCAAA